ATTTTCGCTATTGCATAGATAGCGCTATTTACTGCGAGGATCGCACATCACACGTATCTAATACCGCAGTTCAAAATATATGAACTTCATATATTCATTGCATCTCATTTATCACTTTTACGGGTTTATTACGAATCAACTTAACGGCCTGCTCCCAGTTGGCTTGTTAGCTCAATTGGTAGAGCGCTGCACTAGTATCGCAGAGGTCGGTGGCTCGAGTCCCGTACAGGCCTGATTTTTTCAGGTCTGATTTTCGCTATTGCATAAATAGCGCTATTTACTGCGAGGATCGCACATCACACGTATCTAATACCGCAGTTCAAAATATATGAACTTCATATATTCATTGCATCTCATTTATCACTTTTACGGGTTTATTACGAATCAACTTAACGGCCTGCTCCCAGTTGGCTTGTTAGCTCAATTGGTAGAGCGCTGCACTAGTATCGCAGAGGTCGGTGGCTCGAGTCCCGTACAGGCCTGATTTTTTCAGGTCTGATTTTCGCTATTGCATAAATAGCGCTATTTACTGCGAGGATCGCACATCACACGTATCTAATACCGCAGTTCAAAATATATGAACTTCATTTATTCATTGCATCTCAATATAGAGAGTATGAGCGAAATCGATGATTTGGTTGTGTCGGCGATTTTGATTAATATTGTAACGGACTGTTGTGTGACATAGTGCCCAAATATGGTAGCTTCATATTTGGGGCATGCCTTGTGGTCGAGAGAGCAGAGCAGATTGTAAGTGTGTGTGGCTCGCGGATGATATTAAAGACTGAAAAATCAAGTGTTCTTCGCGTTCTGTGTTAGCGAACCCAGCTTACGGTAACAATATATTTGATTTTTACTGACACTGACTCTTAATAGCTGTTTCCAATGCTAGTGAAGTAAAATTTATTTATGTGTATGTCAGCCTTTTCAGTTCGAACAGCGGAAAAATATTTCTCGCGTTATTTTCCAAAGTCCATCTACCGAGACACCTCAGCTACCTTTGTCATTTGAACGAATACTTTTATTCGAATGCCTTTTAAAACTCAGCCATTGAGATGAAGACAAAAAAAACCAATATTATTTATTGTCGTATTATTCCAGCCACCCTGGTGAACACATATTTTCGAACTGTTTTAAACGTTTTTGTTTCGTCTTTTTTTTGACTCGTTTTGTTTGTGTGTGTGAAGGTTAGTTATTCTTTTCCCTTATGTATTTAGTCTTTTGAAAATTGTGGTCGAGGAAAAGCATATACATTAAGTCCGATAACATTAGTTTATAAGCTAATGGGGTGTCTCCCATTAGCTTATAGCTAAAAACATAGACACTTAAATAAAGTTTTTCATTTCATTTCATTTCATTCGTTAATGATTTAGTTTCTGATATTATAACACATGCACATAACATACGCACGAACCATTTGTTAAAATAAATTTGGTTACACGTACTGGGAATTGAAAAAACAAAGCAAAACAAAACAAAATCCATATTCTCACCATTCTTCGCTTCTACTCATCAAAATTTTTCCGGAAACCAGTAAATAGCCCGTTAATGTCCAAAAAGCTCTGGTACTTGTAAGAATTTAAAATAAAGTTGAGAAGTCATCATTTTGGGGGAGAAAGATAGCACGAAATTATCCACCATTCATAACAGGGAGCAATTCATTTTTTCCCGCAGGACTGTGTATTTATGTCGTGTCATCGCTTGATTCAGACATTTAACGGTCGCCGCCCTTTGTAATTTCTTTTACTTGTGTTCTTTTTGTTTTCATTAATTGTGGTGAAAAACATTTGCTCCGAATTTTGTCTTGATACCCAGAAGACGGTAAATCTTATGAAATACCCATAGCATTTGACAACTCAACCCAAACGTTGCACCTGCTTCCTAAATGATGCCATTTACAATGATACAAGACAATAAACCCCTGCGGATATATGTTTCATGTTTTTTATTCGTATTCAGGGTGAATATTCTCAGATGGTAGCGCAGTCCAACGGGTCACTAACATGCGGCTCCTTCCAGTCTGGCTGTTTTTTCCTTCGTTGTTAAAATTGACGGTGGCAATGCAAGGTAGCGCTATTTATCGAAATCCAACAAGTCACGTTTATTTTGGCAATTTCAGGCGCGATCACTTCCATTACTTGTGGGTTGAAAAACTTACATCCTCCATGGTGGAAAATGAGTTAGAATGCACTTTCCTTTGTGTCGGAGAACCAAAGTGTTATTCGTTGAACGTGGCGGCGTATCCTGACTCCAAAGACCTTTATCTGTGTGAGTTGTTATCAACTGACAAGTACAAAGCGACCGAAAATTTCCTCGCAAATGACACCTTTCACCATCAAGGACCGTTGGTGAGTATTTAGTGATTGTAAAAAAACAAACTTAGAATGCAGTTGAAATGGGATATGTTTATTAATATTTCAGTCTCCATGTGAAAGCGCTCCATGTAAGAACGGCGCTGTCTGTGTTCCTGAATATGTACTGAACTCCTATCACTGTAACTGTAGACCTGGAACCTGTGGAACTCACTGCGAACGAGGAGGTATTTTAAGCATTCATCATTTTCTTTGTCGAGTAATATAGAATTTGCGAAAAAAAGTTGCAAAGGTTAAAATATTATTTGTTATTATACCTTTTCAGTATACCTATTTCCAGCTTTTTTCTAAAAACTAAACGAATGTCCGTCACTTTGCCATTTTTCCAACTTATAAAGTTCCCAATTAGCATTTGGTTTATACGTCAGCTCTGCATTTCCGCATTAGGATATGAAGTACTTGAAAAGGTTAGAGAGTACTGAAGACGCTAGAGTTCCTCTTGTCCTTGTCGCGCCTTGAGAAACTCTTACACAATTTTCCTTCTATCCAAACGTTCCATGTGCTTCATACCTCGATGAATGCACAACTGCCGCAGGAACCAATGAACAAGTTGCCAGTTATCGGATCCTTGTGTTTGCAAAAATATTTATGGGATCGCCCAGGAGCAAACATTGCAAGTTGCCAGAGGGAAATATGTGGCGAGAGGTTGTTTCGACGTCCAAATACACGATTTTTGCAGAGAGATCATCGCATTTTCGCCGCCATTAAATCTTATCACAAATCAAGCGTACGTTTTTGTGTGACGGACTGAACAACCATGAATAAGGCCTAGTTTATACGTCGCGCTACAGTCGAATTTAATTCAGACGAATTTCATTCAAGGTTCCTCAAGCAATTAAGAAAGTGTCTCTGTAAAAGCGGTCCGGTCGATTTTGCTTGAGACATACATTTCCCTCATTTTTTGTGTGTTGTAAGACATTCATGTGCCTATACTAAAAACCACAATCCGTTTGATCGGATCTCTTTATTTTTCAGAGTTTTACGGAAATTAAATTTCACTCGAACGAAGGCCCGTCGTGACACTTTTCAAGACTTTAATTTGAGACAACTTTGGAGGACAATTAAAAAAAAAAAACTACGGAACTCAGCAAAAAACAAGTACCACAGCCATGTATATTAACTCTATCTTATCCATTGAGGTGACCTTCGTGAACATCACATTTCAATCAATGAAACAGGAAGACTTTAATGACACCCTATCGGTTCGCTTAAGTCACACACGCGAAAACCGATCAAATTCAACGTAAAGTTTTGAAAAAGTGAGGCGTTCTTCACTGATCCAACTAACATAGCTAGAAAGTAGATGCCATAGAAAAGATCACTACAGAAAAAACTTTGCGGCCCGACCCTTGCGAAAACTTAAGAACTCCGCGAACTTACCTGATTTTCGGCAATATCCAACTTTGGCGGCCATTTTAAGAGACTTATCAAAACGAAGCGTTGCAGATATAAATCGAGCAGGTAGATCTAAAACCGTCAGAAATACATGTGGAAGCAATTTAAATGAACTTTTCTTTCAATTCAAGTAACAAAATTTGAAATTATTCGTTAAACTTACCATTCCTTCATCCCCATGCAACCATTTCTTCCAACAAATCAAACACTACAACTAGTGTTCAAATTCCCCTCTTCAGTCCAGCTTAAGAAATAAACTGTGCCACCCAAGCTTCGACTCGAATGTGAAGTACGAATCAAATAACACAACTGCTTCATCTTCGAAGCAATATCTTGCTGGTATTTTGATTTTCTGATCGACAAGAACGGTGTTCAGGAAGCGATCGCCATGTTTACCTCATAAACGTACCGCTGACCAGCCTCTAAGTGAGAACAG